GGCGTGAGGCAGGAGAATTCTGCGTTTGAACCCTTTGGAGGTTGGGAGGCTGGCAGGTGAGCTGAGATCATGCCACTCCGGCCTGGGCAACAGAGCGAGACTCTGTCTCGAAAAAAAAAAAAAAGAAAAGAAAAGAAAAAAATGGAATAAACAACTAGCAAAAATAATCAAAAACATAAGGAAAAGGACAACAATACTAACAAAAAAGAGAAAACAACCGATACTACAGACATTGAAGGGATATTAAAGAACTATCAGAAATGCTTTTATTCCAGTGGAGTTGAAATAGATAACTTTACAGATGAAAATCAATACAAGAAGAAATAGAAAATCTGAATGGCCCTTCATTGTTAAAATAAATGAGAAGCTTTCCCAAGAAAAAGTCTCTAGACCCAAATGAATCCTATCAAACATTTTTAAAAACTAATATCGAGTCAGGTGAGAAGCAAGCCGAGCTGGTGTAGAGACTTCTTCTCCCAGAGGGGCCTCAAGAGAGAACAGTTAGCTATGGTTCCCTGATTAGAAAGGATCACCCAGTCCTGTAAGTTAAGACATCCAGCTTTGCTATTGTGTGTCTATTACAGCTGGTCGGTGATGGAATTTACAGGGGATGCCCATAGCCATTGTCATGGAGCTATCATTAAAGACAAATGACATGGAGCCTAATGGAGCAGAGTGGGAGATGAGGTCTGGCTTCCCTGGTCCCTAACCCCTCAGCACTAGACAACGGACCCATACAGAGGGAGATTTCAACCTGAATGCCGAAAGAGAGGCCTGAAGCGTGAGTAACCCCCGTGAGAATGGCAAAGGGCTTCCTGGCTACCTATTTGTGAGGGTTAATACTGAGTGTCAACTTGATTGGATTGAAGAATACAAAGTATTGATCCTGGCTGTGTCTGTGAGGGTGTGGCCAAAGGAGATTAATATTTGAGTCAGTGGGCTGGGGAAGACAGACCCACCCTTAATTTGGGTGGGCACCATCTAATCGGCTGCCGGTGTGGCTGGAATATAAACAGGCAGAAAATTATGAAAAGAGAGACTGACCTAGCCTCCCAGCTTACATCCTTCTCCCATGCTGGATGCTTCCTGCCCTCAAACATTGGACTCCAAGTTCTTCAGTTTTGGAATTCGGACTGGCTCCCCTTGCTCCTCAGCCTGCAGATGGCCTATTGTAGGACCTTGTGATCATGTGAGTTAATACTTAATAAACACCCCTTTATATATATATATTCCATTAGCTCTATCCCTCTAGAGAACTGGAACTAATGCAGATTTTGGTACCAGCAGTCCATTAGATGAAAGTGAAATGGGCAAACGAACCCTAGAACATTCCTCAGTGCTTATTGGGAGGCCTGGCAAGGGATGATCACCCAGAAGACTCCCCAGCATTTCCAGACTTCATGCGGATCTGACAGCTACTTCTACGATAGCAGTCAGAGAAACGTTAATTAAAATAGCAACTACATAGCACTTTCACCCATCACACTGGGTGAAATTTAACATTCAGATAATGTCAAAAGCTGATGAGGATGTACAAAATAAAATTTTCATCTACTAGTTGGAACATCAGTCAGTATAGCATTTTGGAAAGCAATTTAGCATTATTTAGTAAAATACAAAATGTATGCACCCACTGTAATAAGACTTCCAATTAAAACATAGCTAAATAAGAGGTCAAACACGATGACTC